AAAAAAAAAAAAAAAAAAAAAAAAAAAAAAAAAAAAAAAAAAAAAAAAAAAAAAAAAAAAAAAAAAAACTTTTTTTTTTTTTTTTTTTTTTTTTTTTTTTTTTGAAAAAGGAGCGATCGATATTATCAAGCCGGGAATCGGGCCCGGCGTCCCTCACAAAGTTCGTTGCAGCACAAAGGCTGAGCAAGGCTCTCCGGCCAAGCAAAGCCCAGGCCACGACTGCACCAGAAAGAAAACAACCCCTTTTTCCCTTCTTCCGATCCTACAACTTAAACTACACATCAAAACATCGCATCTACGGTAAAAGTTCTCCCTATCAACAAATCGACAACACCAATGAACCCTAATGCCAAGTTGACAGCGCAAGGTCAACCAACCCAATAACAAGTATACTAAATTGACGAAACAATCTCTCTCTCTCTCTCTCTCTCTCTCTCTCTCTCTCTCTCTCTCTCTCTCTCTCTCTCTCTCTCTCTGTGCCCTGGCCACTTTGGCCAAGGCTGCGAAGAGCAGAGCCCTGAACGTCATACTCAGGGCATTCATCCACTTCACTCCAGTTAGAGTTTCCAGGATTTCTATTAAGGCGCAGATATGACTCTGACGCTGAATAGAAGTAGGAACTCTATTTTCGTCTATTTTCGACTATTTTCGACTATTTTGGCTATTGTCGGCTTCTAGTTTTTCGGTTTTCTGTTTCCTTTCGGCTATGATTTCAGAATTTTACATTTAATTGTTAGAAAATACTCTGAAATAGTCAGAGCAGGTTAAAGCCAGGGTTTTTTACGGAGACTTTCATAGAGGGAAAAACCTTTGGGCTTTTCAAAGGTCTGAGGTGGGCCCGATCGGACATTGGGCACAATCGAGTTCTACCGGACTCACCGGATGCTACAGACCGACATTTTCGAGGGTCGCGGGGGTCTCTAGGCTCCGAAACAGCGAGGGGTCTAAGTAGACTATTTTCGGCTTTTCCTGCCGGGCTTTTCCGATCCTACTTCGGTCCCATTCGTAGTTTTTGAACTCCGATCACTAGCGGCGGACTATTTTCGGGATGACGGTATCTGTACCATATAAGGTGAAAAGGGAATATAGATCTGAACCTAGACGGAGATAGCGGAAAGATTAGGACAGTTGTATCACCTACAAAATTTTGATCTGCAACACTGGCTGGTAGCGGGGGATATCATGCGAGGACTACGGGCGGCTCAGTTGGACTAAGTAGTATAAATGTGAGGGGCACGGCATACGCCCTCTCTTTTGGCACACGGACTTCGGTTCACCCTCCTGACGAGATCTGCGCGGCGGGCAGACGAAACCGGTTGAGGGATTTCACCAGTGCTTTGTTTGGTGGTATTTTGAAGTACTTACACAGGGATGGTTCGGAAATGTGAAGTTTGATTTTGGCTATGGTGATATCATTTTGTTGGGATTTCATGCATAGTGCTGTTTTGAAAATTCGGAGTTTTTGAAATTCTGACAGCTATGGTAATATCGTTTGATATATTTCAAATTTTACGTTTTCGGAATTCTTCTCTGTTTGTACTGCTGCCCAGATCGTTTTGCCGCGGTCTGCCTTGCTTTGCTCTCTCTCTCTCTCTCTCTCTCTCTCTCTCTCTCTCTCACACACACACACACACACACACACACACACACACACACACACACACATTTTTCGACCTCGTGACGATGGTGAAAGTCGAACAAAACAGTCTGGCACCGTAATGCTTTTTTTTTGCGGAGTTGTATACACAAGTACAGATGACAACACACAGGTGTACAGTTATGGAGCCCAAAGGTTTCAAGTTGCTGGACCTGGAGTTTGAAGTTTGAACCCAAGTAAAGATCTTGAAATATCAAAAGACAGAGTGAGTTGACCCCAGAGAGAGAGAGAGAGAGAGAGAGAGAGAGAGAGAGAGAGAG